CTAGGGGACGTTTACTCCTAAGGGTCACCAACGAACCAACCAATCGGATCCTTCGAAATACAGATGGCTCCATTACTTACGATAAGGTTCATTCTAATTTTACTTCGGCGGAAGCTAAAAGAACGGAGCCCAACACCACAAAGAAAACGGAAGGCCGTCGAAAAGTATGGTTCGCCCTCGCATCAATGGACCAGGAAAGAAGCGGAAGACCTATCAACGTAGGGCAGTAGAGTATGCGCATAAGAGAGACGTCCTCGACTACATTGACAGCGGTCACAGCCTTGACGAGACAATTTCACAGTTCTACGGCGACTTAAGTGGCTCCGACATTCGTGCTAAGAAAAAACAAATTCACAAGTGGAGCAAGCAGGCTCCAACTATACGTGCTGCATGTGATTCTGGGCGGGGGTGCCACCGAAATCTGCGCGGACTTGGTGAAGCGACTGTGCTCACCAAGGAGGCTGAACGCGCTATCGTAGTGTGGGTGAATTCGCTGCGGAAAGATGGTGCCCCTGTCTCCCGTCTCATGCTTCAACTGCAGGCAAAAGTACCGCCGCGTTACACGTACGTATGCCAACCGGCAGATATTTCGTGGAATAACCCCCTAAAAACTAGGTTGCGAGGTCTGTGGATCAACCGGCTGAGAGACCAACTTGTTGCGTATCGAGCCAAGGAGAAGCAGCGCCAGGAGAAAAGGGACAAACTCCAGAGAGATATTTTTCGTGTGCGCAAGGATCTAGTGCAAGAGAAAGCAGAGTCTGAAGTTGAGCGACTTCGGAAACAGCATACAGAAGAGCCCTTTAAATTGGAGCCCCCAAAAAGAGAAGACATTACGGAGTGGATATCAAAATGCTGGAACGAGCTTTCAGAAAAGACAATTGTTAGTGGATTTGCAAAAGTAGGCATATTGGCTGATACTCGCCGTACTGAGCAAGATTTTGACTCATATCCGGGACATATTGATAGCGAGCTTGTCCAAGAGCTGGAAAAATGCAATTTAACTGATGGTCATGTCGACTCTGACGATGATATAGAGTCTGAAGCTGGTACCGGTAGTGATAGCGGTAGCGAATGTTAAATACAGTAATTTGCAGTGAATGCTTCGGTAAAACTATGATTTGCATTCATATGTCGGTGCTCACGATTTGCATCCTTTGCTATTGAAGTGACGCCTAGGACTACGATAATTCGGTACTCCACACCGTAATCGCTCGTGTGCATATAGTAAAACGTTTCCTCTTTCCCAGACTGTACCAATAACCCCACAAGGACGAGACATTTTCAAACTGGTTGGGAAAGTTGCAGACATGGTGCAGTTTCGACCAAACACATTACTCCAGACATTAAACATACTGTCTAATATTAATTTCTTAATCGCACTTTACCACTCTGATCTATTTTCCTTGTCCCCTTTAAGTGCTTCTGATCTGTGTTCTCGGCGTTCACGACCAAGTATGAGGGACAAAGTAAATTGCAAAGTGATTGAATATAAAGAGATCGATACCTGGCACTACTCCTCCTGCGCCCTTGTCTGTTTGCCTCCTTGATGAGGGCTTGCACAGCCTCTCCTCGGAGCACCATGAACTTTGGCTGCATCTCATGCGTCCAAATATACGATCCCAGACTTGATATCTCACCAGCTGGTCCATCGCCACTGGGGGATCATCAAGCCACACAGAAATCCTTAGGCTTTAGCTTCGTTCTCCGCTCCCAGCCTAGGATATCAGGCTTAGTATATCACCCGCTGGTCCATCGCCACTGGGAAGCCACCAAGCACTGCATACAGTACACGCAAAGTTAATGATCACGCCTGTTCGCCACCTGATGCCCATCATCTGGGGGCATCATATCAGCCGGCGGCAGATTACTTCCCCCTCCACAAGAGCGTCAGCGTCGGCGTCGGCGTTGCCGCTGTCTTGGGCGTGCTTGAGCCTCCAGCATCGCCACGACATCGGAGTTATCGTGGTGGGCCTCACAGTAGCGCTCGAGTAGGACTGGAACGTCTGCAGAGAGTGACGAGTAGCTCTCCCACGTATTTTCGAGCTCGTCGAGGCCGAGCCATTTGACCTCGACCTCCCATTGCCGAGTACTGGAATTGAGTCTTACACCCCGGAACGCTTCGACACAGTGCCCTCCCTGAGAATGCAGCGCGTACTGCAGCAGATCTTCCATGACCTCTCGGTCCGCCTCCGCATAGAGGCGAATTCGGGAGCCATGGTAGTGTTGTGATGCGTTGGGGTGGATTAAGGTCCTCGACCTCGAAGATCCACGCGATGACAGCTCGAGCAATCCGCTTAGGTCCTT